AGCTGCTCCTGAGCCTTTTTTGCCATGATGAGCATGTAAGCCATGATGCTATCTAGTAGTCTCTCGTTTTCTCATACTCTCTAATGTTCTCCGGGGAATAATTTTCTCCTGTTAAACAAATGCATGTTCTCTCTTGTGATAGGTTTTTCTTTCAGTTCCTGCAGTGAAGGAAGGCAAATACTGTTGATGTGTTTTTTCTGAGAGACAGAATGCTTATTGACCGCCGTGCACTTTCTTTCATTTTGTCCCATTTTGCATGTTCTGCATGTCAGTTTTTTGTTTGGTATCTCAATTCGTTTGTCTGAAAGAACTCTACCTTAACGACTGTATTACTACCCTTTTTTTTTCTATTTGAATGCTGTAGAATACACATTTTATATGATGAATATAGACACTACTTTTTTTTTTTTTTAAACATTTACAGGTTTAACACTAACACATTTTTCTTTCGTTTCAACACTGATTTATTGCTTGAATGCATTCATTTCCCACTGACAAAATACTTTGAATCCAGCAAATAATATGCAAAGAACAGCATATAATAAACAAAATCAAATCAATTAGTTAATAAATGCCATTTTCAAAAGCGTATATCAAATTATGCCCCTTGAAAACCCATGTAATCTGTATTTGTTTCAAATATCCATCTGTTAATTTAAAATTTTTGTTTAAAACAACAAATCTGATTTTTATGTTAACAGATAGGTATAAATGAGGAAAATGAGGCTGTTTTCAGATAGAATGCATAGAATAGTGTATTTCTTGCATAGATGGTACCTTACCCAGGCTCAATTAAAAATATAACTTGAAGTGCTAAGTACAGCTTTAGCATCCAATTTCTGTGTCCTCTGTTGACTGCCGCTTTCCTTCATATTGACCATATTTTTCCATCTGTTAAATTATAGTGGTGTGCATCTGGATAAACTGGACATCTTAATTTTCTAAACAATATTTTCCAAGAATACTATATAAATCTCCTAATAAGCCCTTATTTACAGTTTCTCTAACATGGATTGTTCTCAGTTTATAACTTACAGTGCATTTTGCTGGTTCTTGACTTTTTCTTGCTATATGCAAGCAGTGGGATTTCAGATCTGTAAAAGAAACTCACAGTGATGAGGAAGTACAGGAATACATGTAAAGTCACAAATACAGGCACACAACTGACCTGAGAATATATCTGACACTAATTTACATGTTTATTTTGCTGGCGGTTCATACAGTTTAGAAGGCTTTAGATCTCCTGACCCCATCCCTGCATGTTCAGACATCATCTCTGTATGCCTCCTGGGCTACCTGATCCTGCTTCCACCTCCTGCACGCTTCCTTTTTTTATGTTTGAGCGTAGTCAGGAGCTCCTCCTTCATCTATGCAGGCCTCCTGCTGCCTTTGCGTCATGTTCTGCTTGTTGGAATGGACCATTCTTGGGCTTGGAGGAGGTGATCCTTGAACGTCACCCAGCTCTCTTGGATGCCTCTTCTCTCCAGGGCAGTATCCCATGGGATTCTTCCAAACAGGTCCCTGAACTGGTCGAAGTTTGCTCTCCTGAAATCCAGGGCTGTGATCCTGCTTTTTGCGCTGCTCCCTCCTTGCAGGATCCTGAACTTGTGATCGCTGCAGCCAAGATTGCCCCCGACTTTCACATCCCTGATCAGTTCTTCCTCATCTGTAAGTATGAGGTCCAGCAGACCTTTATTGGCTCCTTGATCACCTGAGTAAGGAGGTTGTCATCAATGCACTCCTGAAACCTCCTGCATTGCTTGTGCCCTGCTGTGTTGTCCCTCCAGCAGATATCAGGGTGGTTAAAGTCCCCCATGAGGACCAGGGCCTGTGAATGTGAAGCTTCTTCTAATTGTCTGAGTACTATATTGCATATTGCAATAAATATTTAATTAGGTTTTGTCTCAGCATCAAAAATGGCAAGACTTAAAACTGAAAATGTTTCCCCCCCTAGAAAGGAGTAGGTAGAATTTTTTCCTGTCTTTTAAAGAAGTAAAAAATATACACTTCTATACTGCCCCATGTCTGATGATTTGAAGAATATAGTTTTACTTGAAGAATACAGCTGACTTTTATAAATATAATAGCTCATATAAATGTTTATTCCTTTCCATGGTGAGAAGTTGCTACAGCTTCTTTAAGTATCTTTATTTCTTGTAGGGACCTGGAAAACTGGCAGGGTTATTAATTTGTTGCTTTTAACAATTGTTTTGTGGGTTCGTTTTCTCTTGTCCTTTGCGACTGTCACCAAAAGTCACTAAATGTAATAATGATTTCAACAACACTCTTGTTGTAGTGCAATGTTCTCTATTGCTGGCTGTTTTTATACCATTTACATCTTAAACTTTTCAGTTTTAGAGATCATCGTTCTCTGATTTTGTACCACTATCGTTTTGTTCATTATGGACTGTGTAGTCTCCGAGCTTGTTCTCTACAGCCTCATCTCAGGTTTTCAATTCGGTTCTTAATGGTCTCCAGAGCATCAGAGAGTAATATTTCAGCTATAATTTTTCTTTCTTTATCATCTTCATTCACAATGATTAGATTTCTAACATGCAGTTCCTGCTTTTGCACATCTCTTTAAAAGTATTGCAGTACAAATTGAAAGACTACCTAATTTGCTCGGTCTGGCCAATGTCATTATCTTTTACTACTTCTGTATATACTCAGTCATTCTTAGTGGAAACCAACGCTGTCAAGCGTCTGGATCTGTTCCAGCAAGTCTTGCTCGCTCTCAGGATATGAAGAAGCCATTCATTCAGAGTCTTAAATAGCTGTTGGACTCACCATTGACATTTGTGATGAAATTGGAGCTTCCACTATAACCATGACAATAAAGTTAGATCCATTAGGAAGGTCTGTGTTTACTATTCTTCTTTCACTGGAGCTATTCCTTGGCAGAAGCGGACAGGCATTGTGATTATAAAGTAAATATTCATTTCGTTTTGACGGGTCTGAAAAACTCAGTGCTCGAGAACTGTATTTGAGACTCATCTGTTTCCCTACTTCTCTTTTTATTGTTCTTTACGACTGTGACATGAACAGGGCTGAACAGACCACACTTTTGAGGATGGAACTGATAAATGTTCTTTAGGATATTTGCGGTCTTTGGCAGAGGATGGATGCATAATATTGCACACATTGTGACAGAATTGGAAACACTGGAGCAGAGTACCTGGCTTTGATTTGGAAAGTACTTTTGAAAGTAATGGTTTAGTTTAGTCGAGTATAGTTGGAGGAGGCTGATAACTACATACCCTGGCTAGGCATCATAGTCTCATGAGCAAAGCCAACAATACAGGTAATCTGTGTCTCTCAGAGTTCCAGAATAAAAACAGATCCTCACAATAACTTTCACTCTCAGATGACCCATGCAAAATCAGAGGCATAAGCAGGAGGAATTTAAAGGAGATAAGATATGGAAGATCAGAAGGAGGGGAGTCTGCTGAGGCAGAGGTAGATCTCGGGTAAGATTTTGCTCCTTTTTACTCTATGACCCACATTGCTCCTGAAGTGCAGTATTTCTTTCGGAGAACCTGTGGGTTCTCTGGCACTGCTACTTCACTTAAAGCCCAGTCATTTATGAATTTCAACATTATCTTTATAATTACTGATTGATTAGGAGACGAGAGGGGAAAGGAATGATTTGGGAGATGCTGAAAGAAAGCAAGAGGATGTTGTGCTCTCCCTTCCAGTGCTGCTCCAGGTCTTAAGGTTGACTCTTGCTTCTTGAGTTCTCCTTCTGAAGGAGTGCTATGTTCGTGGTGGGGGTTTCCTCATCTGCAGTTTTGGGGTCTCTTTGGGGCTATTATTGCGCGTTTTCCTATACCAGCCTGCCCCCTTCTCCCCGCTTCCCAGGCACAGCCTGGACACTGCATGCCGCGCTTGTGCAGCCCAGGCACCCCCGGCGGGCAGCTGTTTGTCCTGCAGTGACCACTTAAATGCATCCCCAGGGCAAAGCTAACCCAGGTGAGGCAATAGGCATTTGGCCACAGGGCAATTGCTGCCACACACACACACAAAAAAAAAACAAAAAAAAACAGCCCAGGCCAAGGCAGACCCAGACACGTCCTGAGATCCTGCACTGTCAGGTCTGTACCAAGCCCCTGGCCTTGTACTAGTAATGGCAAAGTTGTATTTAATGGGCTGCAGAACAAAGTATCCCAAACCTTAGTCTTGTAAGTGTTTCCTAATCACAGAAGATGTTTCATTCTTTCTAGACTGTGCATGAGTAAGAGTATAACGGTTTGCAGTGTTAGGTCTTTCATATTTACTCTTGCTGGCACACAGAAAATTGCATAATGCTGTTTTGGTCAGACAATTAGCTATAATACTTACCAGGGTGAGATTATGGTCCTTTGTGTTCAGAACAAATGTTCTTTGATATTTTTAAATCATTGGAAAACTTTAAGTGAGCAAAACAGAAGTCTCTTCAGTGGTCTGACGTTGGTTTGCAGTTCTTAACTATCTTTACTTAGGAATCACCCTAAGAATAGAGGAGCAAAACCAGAAAAGGTGGGACTTCTCAGAAGTCAAAATCCAGACTGGTAAGAGGCGAAGCATCCATATTTTAGGGTTATATTCACTTAGACTCAACTTTTAAGACACGTACATATTCTTGCATATTCAATAGATATTTAAAACCCAGAGTTTTTAACACTCTCAATTTAAAAACAGACTTAGGCAATAATGGACTTTATTTTCCTGTTGACTACTTTAAACATAGTGAAGGGCACTACAGTCTGCTGTGAAGTTTGTCCTGCATTAATAAACTTCTTTTTTTTACTGTATTATGTTACATAGAAAACTTTAATAGTTGTTTTCAGGTTCTTTTCATTACACTCTTTTCATTACACTCTAGGAAACTCCAATTAAAGCCTCACAATTTAAGCTTCTTAGAAAACATCCAGAATGGGAGGAAGATGGTTCACTAAATGACACTGAATAGATAGAATTACTAGTATGAATTTTGGTAACTGATTTTCCTCTTGCCTTTGCAGACTATGGCACTATTAAAAAAGTACTTGCCCCAACGAACCAGACGTCAAGCAGCTGCCTGCTGGAGGAAATTGAACTCTTGCCAGCGAGTCAGAGAGAACCCATCAGGAGTCTCCAGATCCTGCACAGCCAGAGTGTCCTGTTTGTGGGCCTTCAGGAGCACGTGATTAAGGTCCCCCTGAAGAGATGTCTCTTCTACAAAACATACAGGTATGAAAGATCACCGAGTTTGGTTTGATGGGAGAAAAATGCATGTGGGGGTTGGCAGGAAAAGTGGAAGGGAAAAGTGGTTGCAAGTAGGAGTCCATATTAATTACCTCACCATGGCTGTGGCTCTTTGTGTACACTGCTTAGCCGAACAGTCTCTGGGGACTTCTTGTAGTAAGCTAGTTTGCTAGCACTAGATGAGACTCCCAAGAAATTGTATTGATATTTAAATGCCAGCATACAGAATTTATAATTGCACAGATGAAACAGAAAGGAATGGTTTATATTGCAAATAAAAATCTGGTAATGTGCAACATAGCTACTGATGTAATATATTTAAAGCTTAAAATTAAAGGATAAATTTAAGGTGTTTTCAGGTGATCGGCCCTGGAAAGCTAGATGGACTAGGGGAACAGTTATTTACAAGCACTTTTCGCTTATACTGTCTTATATAGAAGTACGGAGCTTTCTCTGCTTTAAAAAAAAGTTGATTGTTCCCTATTCTCTTCTACTAAAATAGTAGTGATAGGAGACTCAAAGCCCCACTGAAGGTCATGCAAAGCTCACTTTAAGGAAAAGTTGTAGGCAAGTCTCTATGTCAATCTTGTGATTGATTTAGTGTCCATCATAAGGACAAGGTTGAGCCGTCTTTGATGTAGCCAGTTGAAACAGGATATTTGATGATAGCATAGTCCTTTTTGGTTTGTTTTCTCCTTTTGGTTATGTGAAGGGCATGTATTTCGAGGGGGAGGGCGCACGTCTGTATGTCTGAAGAAAGAAAAAAATCTAACGACGTTTTTCTCTCTTCCCTTGAATATGAGATGATTATGCCATTCTGGTTGTACTAGACGTTGAACATGTTTTCATAAATGCATCTGTTTATTTCAGAAAGGGAAGACAGGCTGCTGTCCCTTATTTTCATATGGACTGTGTACACGATAGGAATGATAAAACCAGAGAGCTTGATAACTTAGTGTCCCATATTAGCACCAAACCTGCATCCCACTTGAAACAGCTCCAGGCTGGATCCCTATTCAGTGCACCTCGGTGCATATGGTATTAGTGAGGTGTGAACCCAGAAATCCAGAGTTCAGCTCTCCGGAACAGCTCTCTGCTGAGCTGTTGTCTGTGTGGTGGCATCACAAGTTCCTTAGCACCAGGGTTTCTGTCAGGAGAGTTCCCGAAACACTTCAATGCTTCGCTGATTGCATGGGCAGAGCGTGTGTCCCCTAGTACCGGTGAACTGCTATTTCAAATCCTAAACCCTGTTCATAGCTGCAGGCTAGGCATTCCTGTCCCAGTTTGAGCAGGGGAGGCAAACTGACTGGTTTTAAGAACTTAAGATGTTCAGTCTTGTACCAAAACGGAGAGAGGAGGAAAAAGTGGTGCTGTCCCCAGTTTACCGAGCAGAACAGCGGTTAAATGCCCCATATCCTGGTGGGTGCTCCAGTGCTGATGTATTCCTCTGCCCAGAGGAATTTGAATTCCCATCCCCCATCAGCATGACTTACTCAAAGGAGATAAATGATTCTTAATGGGGATTCTCAGTCATTTCTTTCGTAGTCAATATCACTTTGCTTGGAATAACTAAGTGTTCATTGCACACCGGAAGGATTACCATCCTTGCTTTCTTCCTTGTAAAAAACATTCATCAACTCTCTCTTCTTCTGTCTCTGTTGTGTGAGGAAGGAGAGGATTTATACCTATGATCTTAATCTTTCTCTCACCTGTCACTTACTTTTGGCTTGATGAGCTTGTTCTGGCTTATCGTGCTGGATTTGGAGAGTATTTGGTTCTGTACATGTGGAGAGAATGTCGGTACTTTACTCGGGGCTATGAATTTCACTAGGTAGTAAAAACCTAATCTGGAACTTAGTCACTCACTACTCGAATTCTTGTTATCTCTTGCCAACTGCTGCTTCTGTACTATAGCAAGGGGTAATTAGAGGAAAACCTTATCTAGGGGAAAAGATACTGATGTGCAGTACCTTGGAGCATTGTGGTTCTGTGTTTTTTGATTATTTTAATTTTATCTACTCAAATTTATCATACTTAGGACTGCATAACTGTACCAAGGCTATACTCTGAACTTCCATCAATAATAACTGAAGTTTCTTCTGCAGATCAAGGGCAGTGTCAAGTCTGTAATATCTACTTCACATAATTTTTGAGAAATAGAGCGTGCTTGGGTATAAATAACAGCCTTAAAAAAAACCCAAAAGTCGGAAGCAGTACCAGCTTATCTGTTCTGTTTTTCTATGTCAATGGCAGACGGCTCAGAGTCTAACCTTTTCTAATCTTTTTGCTTTGTTTTATTGCAGAAGTTCCAGACAATGTGGTTTCAGTCCTTCTGTTAGGCAGACTCTTCTACAACCCAATATCTCAATGTCAAGATAAATTTCTTGAGTTTGTCTAGTTTTTCCTTATATAAATATAAAAATAATTTTATTTCGTTATTCCTTGTTTTATCTTCATGTGCCAGCGTCTAAAGCATGTTATCATCACTTTTCTTAGTAGTTTATTACGTCCCTTTAATTGTCACCCTGATGTGCTGCACGTATTTAGGTCATTAGTATTTCCTGGTGAGTCTATTCCTCGGGCACGTAACTTGTGGTAGATACTCAGGTTGACGGTTGCCTCCGACAGCCCTTCTCGGTGGTTCAAGCCCTGCTCCACCAGCTCAGGGCTCCACAAAACCCCTGCCTTTTTCCTTGGGTGGGTTTTTTGCCCCCACGGTCACTGTTACCAAAGGCCCTTGAAAATACTGTTTTACGTTTGGAGATGGATTTGGTTTTTTTTTTTCTCTTTTCTGCTGCTCCGAATGCAGTTCACTGTATCTGTTAACGCTGTGGCATGTGAGGCAGAGCCCGTCCGCGCGCCCGTGGTCAGGGTTGTAGTCAGCACCTCCCCGTAGGCCGCAAAACCCTTCCGTTCCCTGTTCGTGACTTGCCGCGCTACTGGTTGGGGCCGACAGTTTCCCTGGCGGGTGTCTCCCTGCGAGTTCTGCCGGTGGCTGAACAGTTTTGAACATCCTGCTGTGATGCTGCTGTTTTCAGGAATGAGCTAGAAGAAAAGTTTGCCTTAGGTGAATTATTACCAACAGCTGGCCGGAAAGCCTGAGCTTTTTGTGCTCCAGAGCAGACGCTCTCAAATCAGCAGATCGGTTGCCCTAGTTTGCCTCTCCTTGCAGACGTCCCTGCCCATTTGACATGGTGTTGTTATTACCTGGGTGTTGCAGTTCGCAGGTGCTTAGCATAGTTTTACTAAAGACCAGCAACATTACTTGCTGGAGAAACTGTTTTCGGTAAGCATTCCTCAGCTCCCCGCACTTCTTCAGAGTTGGGTAGGCCAAGCGTAAAGTACAGCTAACTTTTGTACAGCTAATTAACCATTACGGGGAGGCGGTAAAATGATTATCGCAGCCTATTAAAATCTGTAAAAGTGCAGTGTTTGCTATCGACTTTCAGGGAGGTGAGTATTTGTAATAAGGAATAAGAGGTAAGGGGTAAGGACTCGGTCCCCTAAAACAAAAGAACCAGTAATCTCTCTTCTATTGGCAGCTGTAGCCAAATTCGGTGGATTTATTAATGTCATAATTTTTACTGAATTTTTCCAGTGTATCGGTACTAGAAGTAGGGACAATGGAAGATTGTATCACGTGTTCTACGTAGCCTTGTCAGGCAGATCGTCAGGGATTGTTATTCTTGATGGAAGATATGCTTCATGCACTTAAAAGGCTCAAAAACTAATCTTAATTTGAAGTTATGTCTAAATAAATAAATAATGCTATCTGCTGAAAGCTTTACAAACAGTGACTTCTCTGGTGTAAAAAAAAAAAAAATCTTTGAGGGAATTTTAAAGTAATGTTTTTACATTATATATTTAAAATATTATTGGATTGCATGATTGTTTCACTAATTAAGGTTTTCGTTGCTAATCTGTGATAACCCTGAGTTTTCGTTCTCCATTTTACTCCAGCATATTTATTTTGGCTTCTTTGTTAGCCGTCAGCTAAGCAGTATGTACACAGGCAAAAGAAAACTGTAGCAGCACAGTACTGAAATGGGTGTCTAGGTAAACTAGTAGGTTAAAATAGTTCTTGCAAATTTGGTTACGGTTTATTTTATTCCTAGAACTCCAGCAAAATTATTGAATTAAGTATTTCACACTTGCATTCCTTCATTTTGTCTTAGCTATAAGAGCTGCTTCCTCAGCAGTACGCTGGCACTGACTGTGAGCCTGTTTTCCTGGTACTAAAACACTGTCGCTATCATTACATAGCATAATAGTTATTCAAATGCACTATTAGTATACAGGTTGCCGATCAGTATTGTGTTCTATACTAATGTTTCTAGAAGAGCTTGCCTACACATGGAAATTAATTGAAATGGCTATTATGAGGTAATCATTCCGTAACAGTTATTTTTGGATAGCCAAGTGGATTTCCTTATTTCCAAATAGGTAAGCCTTTTCCAGTTTAAATCGTAAAAATGCACTGAATATGAGAACCAGAATAATGGTTCTCATAAATTTCCCAAACTGGGGTAAACGATAATCTTGCCTACAAGATTAGATTATGAACATGTTTTTTAAATTCAGTCTTTTCTTGCATGTTAGATACACTGAAAAAAAAAAACTTCAATTGGTGTGAACTTACACAAGCACCTGTAAAATCAACAAAACTATGAAATGAATAAGAACTGGCAGTCTTCCTCATTCGGCGGTTCTACTGAAGACGGAATCAATCCAAGCTATATAAATCTGAGGTTGAACTATATTTTGTGTTTCCTCTGTGAGAAGTGAGAACCAAGGTTTTTGCAGGAAGCATCTTTGTCCTTCCGGCCTACGATATGCATCAGAGACGAACTGGGCATTCACATTTTGCTGCACCTGAAATATTTTGCCAAAACTCTTTAATATGGCCAAACCATTTGTGTAATCTGTACATGCATGTATTTTCCTGTAAGCCCGTGTTTCTGGCAAACAAGAAGGAATTTTAATAA